GCTGGCAGCTGAGGGCCCACAGCATAGCCCCATCCGCCTGGCCGTTCACCAGCCCGCACCGCTCCCCAAAGATGCTCACACTCGAGGCATCTCAGTAAGTGCCAGTGGGGACATGGGTGCAGGGGGCTTGCCACCCCCACCTATGTGGGGTAGGGATGGGCACCTCCAAGGGTAGGGTCAGGCCTGGGGTACAAGGGGCGCTGGCGGGACAGGGGTGTTTCCACTGTGGGGGTGCCACTCTGATCTGGCACCAGGGGCAGATGTGGGCTCTGCACTGGGGTGCCCTTGTGGGGCGTATCTATTCAGCTTCATGCCCAGGCTGAGCTGGGAGCCTGGGGTGGCAAGGGGGCCAGGGGGTAGCTCCTGGGCAGCATGGGGGGGGGCACTACTCCCTTCTCCAGGGTGGACTGGTGCCCTGGGGTGCAGACCCCAAGTGGGGGGCACTTCCCTAGGGGGGTGCTGATGGGTTGGGGGCATCTGGGGCACTGGGTTTCCCTGCTGGGGCCAGCGATCCAGCTCCCCCCACTTCAGTGCCAGCAGGTGCCCCCTCCTCCCTTCCCCCTCCCTCACTTTCTCTCCATCTTTATGCAAATTGGCAGGGGGATTTGAATATTTCCTCTGTCTGGGGAAAGTGGAGCGGACGCAGATCGTTTGCATGGGGGGGGGCCCTGCCCTTGCCCCCCGCTTCCCCCCTCCCTGTGCCTGCTGCGTGCCGGCTGGGTAGCAGTCTCAGCCCAGCTGGGTGGAGAAGGGGGGGACCCTTTGCCCTGGGGGGAGGCTCAGGGTAGGTTGGGGTGCTAGGCAGTCCCCATCTAACCCCCCACCCCCTGTCCCAGCAGGCTCGATGGGCCACACCCCAGCTACATGGTAAGTCTGTCCATCTGTGTGTCCCATTCCCCCCACCCCCTGCATTTGCATGTAACCCCGACACCCCCCCACGCCCGTGGCCCCTAGACGCAGTCTGCGGTGGCTAACCATCCCGCCAGGACACCTGGGTTCCCATGAGCTGGGTCGAGGGGTTGGGGGTGGAGGGCGTGGGTTGGAGGGAGGCAGGGTCAGGGCCTGAGTGCTGAGGTGGTTGACTCTGAGGTGGGGCAGGGCAGATGGTCACACAGCAGTTCGGGATGGGAAGTGGGCTGGGAGCATGGGCCAGGCTGTATGTAACCCTCTCTCTCTCCCTCTGACGGTTTTTCTCTCCTTAGGCTTTCCCCCCAGGATTGAGAGGGGAGTGGGGTGCTGGGGTCCTGGACACCTGGGTTCTCTCCTAGCTCTGGGATGGGAGAGGGATCACGGGGCTAGATGGGGGCCTGAGGAACCAGGACACCTGGGTTCTCTCCCAACTCCTCCTGGATTGGGTGGGTGAGACCACTGAGCCAGGCCACCTGGGTTCTCTTGGATCTGGGTCTGATACCTTAGAGCGCGGGTGCTGGGAGCCCGGACGCCCGGCTTCTACTCCCCTAGATTGGGGGCTCTGAGGAGATAGGGCTCCTGGGGGCTCCTCCTAGCACTGGGAGGGGAGTAGGGCTGGTGGGGCCAGGGTGAGAAGCCATGCCCAACACCTGGGTCCCTGGGATGGCTGGTAGGGCCCTGACTGGGGTCCTATCCCCTTGCCTTCCAGTTTTCCGACAGCAGTTTCTACGACCTGGACTCATGCAAGCCTCTGCCCACCTTCCCTCACTGCTTGATGGAGGCCGAGCCCCCCACGGGTGAGCCAGCGCCCCGCAACCTCCCCCCAACTCTCGGGTGACATCAGAGCTGCTCGGGTGACATCACAGCGCCCCCTGGGGGCGGGAGGCGGCCCCCATGATATCAGAGCAAGCGGCCCTGGCCGGGAGGAGCTGAGGCTCGGGGCTTCCCCGCGTAGCGTCACAGACCACCGGGGGGCCAGGGGCGGGGCTACAGCATGCAAATGAGTGCACGGCACAGCATGAAGGGCACCATTGTGTGCACTTCCCTCTGCCCCGCCGCGCCCAGCTGCGAGCCGGGACGCCTGGGTTCTTTCCCCGGGCGCGGCGGGGAGGCAGGAGCCAGACGCCTGGGTTCAATCCCAGCTCTGGGAGGGAGGTGGGATCAGGAGCCCGGACACCTGGGTTCTGTCCTGGGCTGGGCTGGGGCAGGTCGCCTGGACGCCTGGGTTCTGGCCCAGCCCTGGGAGGGGGGTGGGGTCTAGTAGGCTGATTGGGGGGCGCTGAACGCCTGGGTTCTATCCCAGCTCCGGGAGGGGGGTGGCTGGGAGCCCCCCGGACGGCTGGGTTTCCTTTCCCAGCCTTACGGCCGCCCCCTGGATTGGCAGATCCGTGTGCAGGCTGGCTGGAGCTGGCGGAGCCGGGCTACGAGCCCTTCGACTCAGGGCAGTTGGCCCCGCTGCACACCGTGACGGTCCCCTACGGGCACGGCCCCTACCCACTGCCCCCCCCGGACGCCGTCTACAGCCTGGAGGGGCCGCTGCCCGCCCCTAGCCACTGCTCCGTCCTGCCCGAGGAGTACGGAGCCCAGGTCAGCGCCAGCCTGGGGCAGCGGGAGCCCACCTGGGTTCTTCCTGGCTCAGGGTGGGGGGAGCAGGGTCAGGCTGAGGGCGCTGGGACGCCTGGGTTCTCTCCCAGCTCTGGGGGTGGGAGTGGGGTCTGGTGAGTGAGAACAGGGTCGGGGGTTAGGAGTCTGGACGCCTGGGTTCCAGCCCAAGTCCTGGGAGGGGAGTGGGAACTAATGGTTAGAGCAGGAGGAGGATGGGGAGCCCAGACGCCTAGGTTCTCTCCCAGCTCTGGGAGAGGAGTGAAAGCCCATGGTTACCAGGCTCCCATGGGCAGGATGTCTCTTGCCTCTGTGATGCCCAAAGCTGAGGGGTGCTCTTCTGCTGCTCATCCACCCCCTGCCGGCGTTTCCCCCCAGCCCTACACGTTGTACAGTCCGTGCCCCCTGCCCAGCGCCCTGCCCAGCCCCCCACTCTCCGAGGATGATGACTTCCCCCCTGATGCCCCGGCCCTGGAGGTGTCTGACAGCGACTCAGATGAGAACCTGTCACCTGGCGGGTCCCTGGACCTCGACTCAGGTAGGCATGCTATCCCAGCATACTCTGCTCCCCCCCCCCTTACAAGAAGGAAGGGTACAGTTCCCCCTGCCTGGCTGTTGAACAGGGTCCCTCTGCCCCTTCTCCCCACCTGTCTGCCCTTTGCCTGCCCAGTGCCTGGGCATGGCTCTGCCCACCTCCTGACCTGTGGGCATGGCCCCTCTGCCTCTGCACCATGTCCTTCCACTGGAGCACATAAGCCCCAGGCCCCTCTGTGTCCTGCCTGTGGGCATGACCCCAGTTAGGACGACACGGCTGCATCTGGGCAGGTCTTGCACAAAGTGCAGAGGCAGGCCGCAGCTCTCCAGGTACAGGAACGCAGCCAGGTCCCCCTTCCCGTCCTGACACATGGGCTCACCCAGCCCCCTTGCCCAACCCATGGGCTGCCCCTGGCCTCGCCCCCTGACGCAGTGTCGCCCCCTGCAGGCTCCCGGCGGAAGCTGCGCCTGTACCAGTTCCTGCTGGGACTGCTGCAGCGCGGTGACATGCAGGAGTGTGTGTGGTGGGTGGAGCGCGACTCCGGCGTCTTCCAGTTCTCGTCCAAGCACAAGGAGGCACTGGCACACCGCTGGGGGCAGCAGAAGGGCAACCGCAAGGCCATGACCTACCAGAAGATGGCACGGGCCCTGCGCAACTACGGCAAGACGGGCGAGATCCGCAAGGTCAAGAAGAAGCTTACGTACCAGTTCGGCCACAAACTGCTGGGGCTGCCCGGCCCCCGCGCCCCCTCCTAGGAGCCCCCTGTTCCTGCCACAGGACTGCACAGTGCATGGCATGGCACGGCCACCAGGGGGCGCTGCCCCCACCCCTGCCCCACTGGGGTGTCTGCTCCTGGCAGGACCGGGTGCCAGGACTCCTGGGTTCTCTCTTCTGCACTGGGTTCAGTGGGTAAGATGGGTGGGGAGGAGCCAGGATGCCTGAATTCTTCTATTTCCTGTATCCGGGTGGAGTTTAGGTTGGGGGTGGGGTTGGGCACTAGGACACCTAGGTTCCGCCCCGCCCCCCCTCAGAGAGGGGAGTGGGGCCTAGTGAATTAGAGCAGGGAGCCTGGTTCCACTCCCTGGCTCTGGTTGGAGTGTAGGGTTGAGCACAAGGACACTTGGGTTCCACCCCTGGCTCAGGCAGAGGAGTGGGTACCTATGGTTTAGAGCAGGGAGCTGGGAACCAGGACACTTGGGTTCCAGCTCTGGGCAGCAAATGGGGTGGGGGTGGGCACTAAAGTAGGGTGGGCTGGAAGCCAGGGCTCCTGGCTTCTGTTGCCCTCTGGCTTGGCGGGGTCTATTCCTTTGTGTGGAGTGGTCCCCTCCAGGTGCGAGTTCAGGGAGCGACATGTATATTTATATTTCAGGAGGGCATCTCAGAGTTTGTATAAGTTGGGTCTTTCTGTCTTTTTTAAAGCAATCAAGTTTGTATAATTTTGTAAATTCCTAATAAAATGTTGCTAGAAAAGAAGGGGCTAACCAGGTTATTCACTTCTCTTGTGGCAGGGTGGTGGGGTTGGGTGGGTTAGAGTGGAGTGAGGTTGCAGGATGCCTGGGTTCTCTCCAGCTCTGGGGAGGGGAGTGGGGCCAGGTGAGTTAGAACAGGGAAGCTGGAAGCCAGGACTCCTGGGTCCATCCTTATCACTGTAAGGTGTGTGGGAGGGTTTGTGGGATACAGTAGTGGGGGCTGGGACTCCTGGGTTCTCTCCTGGCTCTGGGAAGGGAGTGGTGCCTGGTGGGTTAGAGCACTGGGGGTTAGAGCTGGGACTCTGGGTTTCTTTTCCCCAGGTCTAGGATGGGAGGGGGGCCTGGTAGGTTGAGGGGGTGGAGGGGTCAGGAGCCAGGACTCCTGGGGTCTCCCCCCAGGTCTGGGAAGGGAAGAGAGCTAGGATACCAGCCCCCTGCAGGAGGTGGCAATGTCTGCTCATCACAAAAAAGAAATATGGGGTGCTCAGAGATGCCAGCCACGAACATGGGGGGCTGTGGCATCTGAGCTGCAACCCCCATCTGAGTCAGTGGCCTCCTGCAGGGAGCTGTGGGGGTAACCCTTGTGCAGGGATTGGGGTGTGCCAGAGAACTCCCCCAGGTCCTCACTGCACCCCCCCAGGCAGCTCCATCATCCTCCCGTCCTGTTGCATTGCAGTGGTCTCATTCACTTCCTACGTGCCCTGAGCAGCATCTCTGTGCTGCCTTATCATAGATGTCCACAAGGGGGCACCATTGTCCATACTGCCCCCAACGCCCCCCCATGCCTTGGTCCCAAATTCCCTGGGAGGGGTGGGGTGCAGCTGGCTGAGAGCTGCAGGGATAATTAATAAAGCCCTCTTCTCATTGCTTACGTATCAGGCGCCTGCAGATGCCTCTGGGGTGGGGGAAGTTGTGTCTGGCCAGCCCCCTTTGCCCAGTGCTGAGATGCAGCCAGTTCTGGGGTGGGGCCTGCTGTAAGGTTGCTTATACTTGTCCCCCCTCACTCAGTACTGAGTTGCAGCCACTTCTGGGGTAGGGTGCACATTGGCGCTGGTCATCCCAGTAGCGGGCAGTGCTCTCTGGGGCTTGAGGGGTGGGGAGGGTAGGAATCAGGCAGCAGATGGCTGGGGGGCCTTGGCATTACCGGGCGCTCTTTCCTGGTGCTGATAGAAATGGAGCCTGGCTCAGGTTTCACAAGCTCCAGCTGCCTCCAGCTGGGAGGGGCAGGCGGGGAGAGGC